CACTGAAAACTCCAATAATCTCAATAATCTGTTTAAATTTTAAAACATTTGAATTCAATTGTTACACTAAAGCTACACTATGTAATCCAGGGATCTCTCTGGTGGAAATGCTTCAGAGCCCTTCCCCAAGCGGATGAATCTGACGAGAATTCTGTCAAAACTTGGTGAAGGATGTGTGTTTTCCTAGAATGTAACGGAATTATTTACTAATGTCATCAGTATAACATTGATTTTGCACTTGAGACCTAAATACTGAGCCAGAGCTCCTTTCTGAGCCTATGACAACATCCACAAAGCTGTCTTTGAAATTGTTATTTCAGTCTTTACAAGGCGACTCGCAGCAGCACACAAATAATTATTTTAGGGTGCTTTTTTTCTCTGAACTCAGTAATGCTCTTTCTTTCAATTTGAACAAAAAAAAAAACTTACATAGGGCAGCTTTAATCCAATTATTGACAGTAATGAGTGAAGCTGTTTACAGGCATCTCTATATTGATTTTTCACATCACAAGCCTTTACATAATAATAATAATAATAATAATAATAATAATAATAATAATCATCATCATCATCATCATCATCATCATATGCCAGTTGGCTGAGATGGATTTATCAGAGCCATGTAACCTAGAACGCACCAAGAGCAAGTCAAACAACAACACCTCCAAATTCACAGCAGCAAATAACACTTGCCAATGGGGGCACATGTGCTGTGCTAAGCCCCTCCTTCCAAACGGTCTAAAACAACTGTTTAAAATGGCTGAATGTTTGCTTGCAATGTTTGATGCTTTCAGATTAGGTTTCTGAAGGCGCTCTGAAGAAGTACACCGAATCATCATTAACTGGTAACACTAACTTTTAGTGCTAACTACGCTAAACCACTTAGCACAGTTTGGTTGAACTATCACTTTAAACGGAAATTCCGCCAAGGTTTTTAAATTTTCTACATAATTAAATGGTTAAGATGTAAACACAGTGATTCAGAGTGGTTTGATGAGAAATGCTCCATTCTAGAGAAAGTTAGTCAGAACTGTTAACAGTGGTGGTTACAGGAACCAGACGTCTGAAGAGTGTAATGACCTTCAAAGCTCCCTCACAGAAAGTTATTATATGAAATGTTTAGCACTGCCTGATGCCTGAAACACTGTTACAGGAGTTTTGTGATGAGATTTTGGCCTAAAGTGTATTTAACTCTGTGGAACCACCGGTGGTTCCAAAACACACTTCGTCATATTCTTTACTTCATAACTTTCATATTTCATAAGCTACATTCAGAAGGTGGGGGTCATATGAGAGCTGTAACTGTCTTCTTTCCAGTCAAATAGATGGGTGATGTCATTTTAAAACTTTACAATAAAAGAAGCTGAACTTACAATTGTTTTTCTACTGAAAATTGACCCATTTTTCCACAAATCTGAGCTTTAAACTGGATCTCAGATGGCGTCTCTTCAGTGATCTGCTCTGTTAAAAAATATTTTTATAAAAAAATACAAAAGCTTCTAAGATTTTTGGCTTTCAGCAGTAAATTGTAAGCAAATGGCAATATGTGTATGATCATAAAACACATTTTCTGTTAATCTGAAGGGAGCTTTTACCAAAAAAAAACCACCCAAACTACATTCATTTCATGCAGTTATTGAATAATTTGTAATTTGGGCATTCAGAAAAAAAACAAAATATTCCCTGGAGAATAACTGGTTAAAATCCATGGTGGAGTGGTACATGCAGGGTGTTGTAAGGTACAATACACTGTTAGGTTCTGTGCAGGTACCTTTTTCATTCATCAAGGTACAGACAATGAAAATGTTCCCTCAAAAGGTGCAACAGTGGTTTTAATGTGAACCTTAAATATGTTTTTCCAGGTGAAAAGTACAAATATGTACCTTTTCATAACCTAATATTTAAAACAGAACAATAAAATAAAAAGCCTGGAGACGAGACGGGGTGTGTGGAGTCAATACAATCCTGACTAAAGGAACTGAGATGTACCCTCAAGGGAACCACCCCACTGACAAGAGGGGTCCTGCCCCAGTGACAGTTTTCTACCTTTTTTCTGAGAGTGTAGTACAACAAATTTCTTTTTTTCAGATTTATGACTATTTTACATTTAAAAAAATAAGAAGACATGTAGATTCACTGCCTATCACCACCACTGTAGAGAAATCTGAGTCTGAAGGTTCTCTAAAAAGAACCACTTCACATCAAACCACTCTAAATGACTTTGTTTACATCTCAGTAAGAGACCGAAGCACACACTTTGAACAATCAGTGGAACCTGACTCCATACAACCCCCACAAAACTGCTTTACTGATAGATGTGCCAGTGCCAGTGTGTTTTTAAGGCCCAGCAAACATCTGAAATGAACATTTATAAGGGTTGGCAAACCTGGAAATGCAACTAATGAGTATGTAAAAAAAATAAAAAAACATAATTCATTCAAGTCTAATGAGAAAATCTAAGCAAAAAGTAGATTTCCGTCTCATGCAAATATGGCTCTTCAATTAGAGGAAAAATTCAAGCAACAATGTGAAGAAATCTCAAATTCACCCAGCATGGCTATGAATCAAAAGGCAACTGATGAGGCAGCAGCAGAGCAGGAATGGGCTCCTCTTACTGTGTGGCTGAAATAACCAAGGTCCAAAACTATATTACTCAATTATAAGGACTTTTAAAAAATATATATATATAAATTACATGCAAGTCAAAGATGCTCAAAGCAATTACAAAGACAGACAATCACGAGGGGGACCTGAGCTCATCCACACACTTAAGATTGCTGCAGTTTATCCAGTTCAATACAGACCTGAATGGCTGAAAATGCTCAGTTATAACATTCACATATTTGATCTTGAAAACACTGGAACGATGTTTAATGGAGAAAAAATAAAGATCAGGCCATGAGAACAGATCCAAAATCAGAAAAGTGATTTGAACAGCATACGTCTGGGAGGAGGCATCTTACGCAGACAGGGTGCTCATTACAAGCTATGAGGTTAATACTGATGTTTTAGGTAGTTTTCTTAGGCTACGTTCACATTACCAGGCTGAAGTGGCACAAATCCGATTTTTTGCCCTAATGTGACTCAGACCTGATGTTTTCAGCGCAAATCTGATCTTTTCAAATCTGACCTGAGTCACTTTCATATGTGGTCCTAGATCGGATACGTATCCGATTTGTGGCCATGCGACTTTAATGTGGCGCTCAGATCGGAATTCATGTGTTTTTTTCCCCACTGCGCGAAGTTAAAGCCTGTATACGGGGGAAAAGCAACACATCTCACCTTTTTCTCCTTCGTCTCGCTCTAATAATGAAGCTGAGAGCTGATCAGAGTTAATTATCTTCTCAGTGAAGCTCGTTCTGCTCGTTTGTTTGTGCTGATGATGATGACGTTACTGAGTAGGATGTGCTCATGCGGGACGTTTCAGGACGCCGGTTCGTTCACATTAATGACAGATTTGAATCACCTAAATGAGTGTGAACCATCGTGTCAGAGAGATCGGATTTGAGCAGTGAGGCTTGTAATGTGAACGTAGCTTTTGATGATATGATCTGAGCACAGTGCAGTCAGAAGTTGCCAACTGTTTGGCCTGATTTCAGGACGGATCTAAAAAATACTAAAGGCATACTCCAGCATGTTTCAACCTCACCTCTATCTGCTGTATCTGCAGTTTACCATGTACAACAATTTCTGTTTTTCTCCATGGTAACTGACAGCAGTCATACTGATTCAAAACATATTTGCAATAGAAGCCAATGGCTCAATTCTGTCATTAAATATGTACATACAGTGTAATGGTGGTAGTTTAGAGTTTGCATTATAATGGGGACTGTTTCCCAGACATGGATTAAGCTTACTCTAAATTGCAGTACCAATGGTGGAACTATCGTTGGAAATGCTTTTTAGTTTAGTCTTAGGCTTAATCCTGGTCTGGGAAACCAGCCCATAGTGGTAATTTCATATGTTTACAGAGTTCAGCAGCTGCCCAGTAGCTTCTATTCTAAGCATGTTTCGAGTCAACAGATTTCTGTTTTTTTCTAAATATGGGAAAATGTGACATAATTTTTCTCCATGGTAACTGATCATACAGTGGAGACACAGAAGAAAGAGATTATGCTGAGAAACAGTCTAGTACTGTGCAAAAGTCAGAGACCACCCTTCATTTATTTAACTTCCAGTCAAAACAGCCATTCAGGACAAGTTTTCATTTTTCAGGGTCGGATAAAAAGCAGAAAATATACAGTTAACAGAAAATTACCCAGAAGCCTCAGCAACTAAGCACAACTATATCAGATTTTTCAGTATTTAGTGTTTCCACACTTTGCCTTTATTACAGCTTCCATTCTTTTCTGTTCTTCACAGAAAGTTCAGTCTTAGAAGTTGGTCACATTTTCTGATTCCCAAACACATCCAGTGATGTTGAGGTCTGGACTCTGAGATGGCCAGTCCATTGTTCTGAGAACATTAGGAGCTTCTTGCCTTGGCTTTTTTGTCGATTAACGGCTTCTTGACTCATAGCGCTGAGTGGATGGACAAGAACACCTGTGGATTTTTTTTTGTGGCTTGATTTTCTCATCTCTCTCAAAGATGAAAGCTTTAAGTACTGTTTATCTGATGGGGACCACTTTGGTGGTCTGCCAGATCTTGCAGGTGCACATTTCCTCTATGTATTTTAATCATTTGTAGAACTCTAGTTCTGGAAGCTCCTGTTATTTTAATAATTTTCCTTTGACTTTACCCTTCTATATCACTGGTGTCAGAAGAAAACCTTGTATATCCAAAATGGTAACTTTACAGGAAAAGGAAAAAACATACTCTACTTTTAATGGAAGTCAATGGAACCAGACTTTTTTACAAGTCATTTTGGGCCGTTTCTTTTTGTCCATTTATCATGAAATTTACATTCAATGTAAAGGACAACAGGCATTTTCACATTATGTCAAAAACCGAAAAACGACAAAAATGGAGATACAAGGTTTTCTTCAGACAACAGTGATATGCAAGAAGATTATCTTTTATCTAATCTCCCAAAAAAAAAGAATAACTTAATGGCCGTTTTGATCGGAAATTAAATAAATAAAGGGTCTCTGACTTTTGCATGTGACTGTAAACATTCCTTTAAATACTGTGGTACTTTAAATCGTGTGTCTGTGTAAATAACTGCAATAGCTGTAGAAGTATAGACTGTACAAGTAAGCATGAATGCGAGTTCCTTAAGACGGAGTAAGCCCCGGGCTGGTCATATCTGTGGTCGGACTCGCCAGATACTCACTGGACTTCAGACTGGCCAGAGACTTGTAGCTGGCCACTGAAGTTAGAGACCCGCACAGCCCTCTGAGAGATGGCGTGTCCTCTTTACCTGCAAATGCGCAAACACACAAACACACACAAACACACTTTTAGAGGAGATAAACGTCACACTACTCCAAAATGAATCTAATTTGTTTATCCCAATGACAGTTTTGGAATTTTAACTGAATAATAAGCAGCAGAGAGCCGGCAGTGCAGCAGTGAAAGCTTCTGATAACATCTGTAATAAAGAGTCTGATATTTACACATGAAGTCTAGACACCGTAGAGAATTCTAACTCCAGTCATTTGCCTCAGGCAGTATGTGGAGCCCTTAAATTGCGTAGAGCATAGTCCTCCTACTATTTCTGCATTCCCACAGTGTAATATGTTAAAAATACAGATTGTCTGACCACAGAGCTGCTGTTGGCTGGATATTTTTAAATGTCTGACCGCTCTCAACCTTGCAGCAATACTGACACATATGTAAAAGAAAAAAAAAAGGGTAAACGCTAAACATCAATGGATGTCCAGTCACATAACTGAGGAAAGATGATCAACTAAATACATAAACCACACATATAGCTTTTCATCCCTTCAGTCCCTTCAGTGTTACTATTTAAGGGGGTATTCTGCTGATTTAATGCAAAACGCAGCATTATAGAAAAACTTACGGAGTCAGTATTGTTCACAGTGGTGGTGATAGGAACCAGGCGTCTAAAGTGTTCTATGTCTTTAAAAGCGTCCTCACAGAAAGATATTACATGAAATGAATAAGCTACCTGATGCCTGAGACATTAACTGTAAAAAACTGTGTGATAACTTTGGCCTAAAACATATTTTTGAAGATATGGAGGGCGGAGAGGTACGTGGAAGCTGTTGTAAGGCAATGTAGTACTCAAAGAAATGAGTAGTTTTACATTGTGTTATTTTACCATTATCAACATTGCATATAAACACTCAGTAACATGTGGAGGTGCTCTGTTGGATAGTAAATAAAATGGTTATATTTGTGTAGACATGGTGACTCCTGGTTCCCATCAGTCAGTAAGTTTATGTACATTGAACCATTTCATGTAAAACCACTCTGAAAGATTCTGTTTACTTCTCAATGGCTGAATTAATGAATTAATTTAATGTAAATGTGCATTTAATGTAAACTGCACAACTGCAGTTTGGTTTCCTGTTTACATATCGCTGCTGTCGGAATAAAACCTCTTATCTCCAGAATGTTAACCTTACAGGAGAAGGAAAAACCTACTTTACTCTAATGTAAGTCAGTGGAAAAGTAGTTTTGTTGCATTTCTTTTAGTCCGTTCATCATGAAATGTACACACAATGTAAAGGACAACAGGCATTTTCAAATCGTGTCAAAAATTGAAAAACGAATGAAATAAAATGAAGATTTAATATTTGAATGTTGTTGACAATGTATTTTTATTAGTGCTCTAATATGAAGCAGTCATCGATAGACAGCAAAACTGCTTTAGTGTAAAATCCCATTAAACCAATATTTTCTAGCTAAGTGCTCAGTGCATTGGGGGGCCTAAGGCGGCTCTGCCCTCCACAGAAAATTTGGGTGCAAATCACATGTTTGGGTGTCCTCCATCCATTCTTTTTAGAAAACGGGAGAAAGTGTTTCTGTACTACTAGAACTGAATGAACGTCAGCCATTCTGATTCCCCATTTTGATTCTCTGCACATCGTCCTGTTCAAGTAACACATGTTGCGTTTCAAACTTTTACCAATATTGGAAGTCAGTGACAAACTGTGACTATTAGAGTTAGGCCTGGGAATGGCCCATCATCCAAATAATGTCTGGTCAACAGCACTCCTGTGGTCAAAACCTGCACAGTGTTGAATGGGATACAAGGGAGCTTACAATCTGTGAAGCAAAAACGGGCTGCAGTCTGTAATAGTGTGCAAAAAAAACAAAAAACTGGACTGATATATGACCATTAGATGTACAGAAGAAAAAATGTTTAATGCTCATAAAGATGTTTTGTTGGGTTGGGTAAGGCTGAAACATGTCTAATATTTTTAATATTCCAATTGAAATTTAAATATGATTATTTTCTATAAATTAAGCTCATAAGTAGAATATAAATTCACAAGTACAAATTATTACCTTTATTTCATAGATATTTGAGTTTATTTTAAAGGTTATTATGGTAAAATGTTGTAAGTTTAAAATACTGTACTAGCTGAACTAGTGAAACTGCTGAATTACAGTAAAAGACCGTATTCCTAAGAAATTAAATGACTGCAATTTTACAGATTTTTACCATCATTGAGAAGACATGATTTCAACAACTTCTGTTAATTACGGGGTTTTGTCTGGCACCCCTGCTGCCAGACTTTTTACCATTTTTTATGGTCAAGTTGTTAGTTATTTAAGAGAACTAGGTGGTAAATAACTTATTGGAACGACTGGAAAATGCCTGACCAAAAAAAGAAAAGGGTAATTAGAACTGGTCTAGTTACCAGACTAGAAAATTGTATTTCAACGTATGCTTCATGTCAGCTCGCCCTGACCATTCTCACGTCAGTATCTCAGCCATGTGTTTATATATAGCAGTGCCATTTACGCAGCTGGCTGCCAACCCACTCAGGGAATTATGATCAGCTCCTCTTAATGACATCATCCCCTGTAACAGATACTGCAGTTCCTTTGTGGAATGATGATGCTCTGTTTTATCAGATGCTCAAACACAAACACACAACGCTGTACCTTCTCGGTGCCAGTGTGCGAGTCCTGTTTTGCCGTCCAGACTGCGCGTGTGTGTGTGTCCCGGGTCCAGAGATAACTGAGACAGGCTCATATCAGCAGACAGCTGGTCCAGACTCGGAAAGCTTTTCCTGTGAAGGCACACCAACAAACACAGTGTTCAAGAAACGATGCTGCAGCTCTTTAAGAGTGAACGATGAGATACATACACTCACTCGCACACAGCATAAACAGAACACCATACCGTAATATTGTAATCATATTCTGCAATATGCCTTGCCTTGCATTATAAGGAGGAATTCCATTTTTAAAAAAAGTCAGCATATTTAAATCATTAATATGTAAATGCAGTCGTTCAGGGTAGGCCAGAGTCCGGTGACAGTTAACCGAGTTACCATGGTAACAGCCCCCAGTGACAAAAAAACTCATTTATTAATTTAATTCATGAAAACTATAGCAAGAGACACTTAAACTGACCAAAAACGGTCAGTTCAACCTGAAAAATAAGTTCATTTGGTAAAAAGTCAATTAACTAGTTGAAATCAACCTAAATGAATTCAATCACATATTTGAGTCTCAAAATGACTAGTCGAAAAGGTATTTTTCCATTTATTGTCAATAATGGCCAAACCCACCAGTTAGTTCCCACATGGTTCCCCAAATAAAATTACCCTGTTACCAGCACAGGTCTATTCCAGAGCTGAGTGTTCCATTCTAGAGAATCTTACCAGAATTGTCCACAGTGGTGGTGATAGAAACCAGACTTCTGAAGCATTTAACGCCACTAAAAGCTCCCACACAGAAAGGCATTACACAACATGTTTACAAGTGCACAGCCTAATGCCTGAAACACTGTTTTATGATAGATTTGAGACAAGCTTTTGGCCTAATACTCACTTTTTATATCCATTCACAGTCGGAAAGGCACATGCAGTGTGTTCTAAGGCAAAGTAGTCCCCAAAGAAAAATGACATTTTTTGGATTAACCGATAATCCATATTTCACCACAATCAACATTACCAATAAAAACTCAGAAGACGTGTGTAGGTTTGCTGGTGAACATCGCAAACCCTGGTTCCCATCACCACCACTGTAAAGAAATCTGACTAGAATGGAGCATTTCATACCAAACCACTGTGGATAACATTATTTTATATCTCCATGACAGAATCATACAGGAATTTTGAAAAATCCCTTTTAATGTGACTTAGATATAGACAACACCCCCCCCCCATTAAAAGTAGACTTTTGTACTATGTCATTTTAGTAAGTAGGACTGTTAGCTTGCTTGTAGCATGTATGTAGCATTATTCGTATTTTGACTACCAAATGACCAAGTAATTCAGGGGATGCAGTGACATTATAGAGGGAAAAATGTCCCTAAATTCTTCCCAAAATTCAGTTTCTCATAAATGAAATTCTATTTTCTCATAGAGGAAACCTGCTTTCCTAATATAGGCATGAAACAGACTACAGAGGTCTATAATGATAAACAATATACTGTACAGCCATCACACACACACACACACACACACACACACACACACACACACACACACACACATTATTTTTCCAACCCATTTCCCTACTCAGTCCAGATTCCTTTTAGTAAGACGTTTCAGCCTGTACTGTATTCCTGTCCCGGAGTTATTACAGTGAACTCTGCCGCTGCATTTCGCTGATCGATTTCTGCTTCTAGGAAGGCCTGCAGCCTGGGAAGAGCTTGACTAGAATCCAATAGTGATCCAATAGAACTGCTTCACAGGGCCTAGTCTGTTTCAGGAATAATGAGTCCTGCAAACATTTCCTTCCTGCCCAGAAGTCTGAACAGTACGGTGTATAAATTCGGCATAGGCAGGGATTTGGGAGGGGTGCTGAAATTGCTTTGTCATGACTGAAAAGAGTAAAACGTGAAAAGAACGTCTCATGTTTCAGATTTGAAGTCAACGTGAATCAGAAATCAAAATGGATTTTCCTTCTGTGCCGTGAAGTATTGTTAAGTGAAACCTGGCATCAGGGAGGGTCTCAGTATTTTCACATAATGATAGGTAAAGCTGGTGGGAGGGTCAGGTAAAACATATTATTGGTCAGTATTACTTCAAACCCAATTTCAAAAAACTTAAAACAGTATGTGAACTGCCAATAAAAACAGAAAGCAGTGATTAGTAAATTCTGTTTGACCTCTATATTAAGGTGATAACAGGATATTTGAGGTTTTATCTTGAACTCTACTGTTTCTTCATAAATATATGCTCATTCTAAATATGATGCCTGTAACACATTCTTAAAATGTTGGGACAGAAAACATGTTTACCACTGTGTTACATCACCTTTACTTTTAACAGCACTTAATAAAATTTTGGGACTAAAGGCACCAATTGATCCAGTTTTGCAAGTTATCCCCCCCCCCATTCTTTAATGATACCAGTCTTCAGCTGCGCAACCATATGGGGTCTTCACTGTTGTATTTTCCATTTCATGATGCGGCACATGTTTTCAATGTTACCTGCACTCTCTGATTACACAGCCATGCTGATATAACATGCGCAATAAATAAGCACGTTCTTGAAAAAGACGGTGTTTAAAAGGCAGCATATGTTGCTACAAAATTTGTCTATATCTTTTAGCATTAATGGTTGGTAATGCTGCTTTCACAGGCTGTTTACATGCAAAGATTTTTGCAATCCGATTGAATACAATCCGATTACAGGTTCAGACTGAGGTGTTTATATGCACACTCCATTCAACGATTTGATAGAAAACCTTCGTTTACATGCTCACTACAAGTAATCCGATGCAAAATGACGCGCACGCGTGGAGTAGCGTTTAGAGTAAACGTTACCATGACAGCGAACATCACGTGAGGTCCAGTCCGCATGATATGAGTTTCCAGTTGGCGCGCTTGTGTTTTAATTGCTTTAAAATGATGTCAGACTCAGGAAAACGTCCTTCACATGTGCTTATTAAAGAAGGCCGAGAGGGAGACGTCGTGTTCTGAGACACATAAGCTGGACGTCCGTCCCACCGCCGTCTTTTAAAGCTCAGAGCTTAAACTTCGTCTCCTCTGCAGACCAGTTTCTGCTCCGCCATGTTGAACGGTATAAACTTTCGCCTTGACGTGACGCACATGATCAGAACATACTTACATGTTCCGATTGGAATGTAATCGGATTCAGGCGTTTACCTGGCTATTATTCTTCTATTTAACGCATTATTTAGAGGTTTACCCACCTCAATCAATCGGAGAGAAATTGTATTCCGAATGGCCTCAATCGGACTAGTCTATTCCGATTGAGGTGTTTACATGGACCTGTTCTATTCCGATTGAGCTATTAGTCGGATTATTAACGGATTATCAGGCTGCATGTAAACGTGGCTACAGATGCACAAGTTATCCGTGCCTAGTGGACTAGTTTATTCAGATTGAGGTGTATACATGGACGTATTCCGATTGAGCTATTAGTTGGATTATTAACGGATTATCATGCATGTAAACGTGGTAACGAATCAGTTCTAACAATAACCATTAGCTGCAGCCCAGTGTGAATTCCACAAGCATTCAAGGCTGGGAATCCAACAGAGCATAACTGGTCTTACTCTCTCAGTAGGTTGGTTGTATGGTCTCCACCAGCCCCCAGTTACTAAGCACAATGCTGGTGTTTTATTCCAAGAGTGTTAAGCTGTTTAATGAAGTTGTGTGTTAGTGGCTGTTTAATGCATGTTGAAGGAAGCCTTTACTGGACCGGTGATGGGAGACCTAGTTACCACTGGACACGGATAAATTAGGGAGAAAAAAGGGAAAGAGACACCTGCATTCACAGACACACAGAGAGCTCAGATAATGACAATATGTATCCATACTCTTCCCATGGCCCGGAGCGTTTCTGGTAGAGGAGCGTGTCCAAGGCAACAGCGTTGTTATCCAGGGCTCCAGGAGAGGGCCACTGATTGGTCAGATGGGAGGTGAGCTCCTGTCTAGAGCGCAGGTCATGGTTCTTCAGTACAGTTCTGCTGGTATTCAGAACACATATAGACAGACCAGAAAGAGAGTCTTCAGTTACAATCACATGACTTATGCTTGATAAAAAAATAGATATAAACATGGAGTAAGAAGCTTCAAGCAATAACATTATCCCTCCAGCCTCTATGGGCAGTGTGTAAACAGGTGACTTAAGCACTGGTCAAAAGGAATGGTTTGTCTACCCAAATAGGACCCCCATGGACCCTCACAGAGCAGGTACTATTTGGGTGGTGGATCATTCTCAGCACTGCAGTAACACTGATGTGGTGGTGGTGTGTTAGTGTGTGCTGCGCTGGTCTGAGTGGATCAGACACAGCAGTGCCTCAGTGTCACTGCTGGACTGAGAATAGTCCACCAACCAAAAATATCCAGCCAACAGCGTCCTGTGGGCAGCGTCCTGTGACCACTGATGAAGGACTAGAGGATGACCAACACAAACTGTGCAGCAGCAGATGAGCTATCGTCTCTGACTTTACATCTACAAGGTGGACTGACAAGGTAGGAGTGTCTAATCGAGTGGACAGTGAGTGGACACAGTGTTTAAAAACTCCAGCAGCATAGATTTGAGACAAGCTTTTGTCTTTTTGAGGTGAGCTCCTGTCTAGAGCTCCTAGCATCGTGAGGTAGGAAGAGACCTAGCTAGCAGGGGGAACTAAATAGATCAGAAAACTGGGTAAAATAAAAAATAATGATAATTAATTAAAAGACAAAACAATACAAACTAGCAGTAGCTCCGAGCACTCATCCTGATTTTCGTCTGTATACCGAAACCCCATTAGAAAGTCAACTTGGGATTAAAAAAAGCTGCACTACATACGATTTTTTCGTTAAAACTGAAGGAATAGAAGAGTCAGGAGAAAGAACACACACTAAAATATGGTGTGCATGCACTGCTGCAAGTTGCTTTGTAAAGCCTGAAATCAGGTTGGATTTCACAAGTTTTTCAGACCACATTATACATCATATTAATGTATACGTATTAACATCATACAGGTTTAAAAAAGAAGTTCCGGCTTGATGTTTAGGTCTCAGATGTAACATTATACTGATGAAAATACGATGAAATATTAGATAATTCACTCAGTTTTGACAGAGTTCTCTTTGAAAACTCAGTGTGCTCCCAATTATCAGATTCATTCGCACAGTAAAGGGTCTGAAGCACAACAGACATTACAATATCTTCTTCCACACGTTGCATGCAATTACACATTTCCACCAAAGAGGTCTCCAAATCCCCAAAACTTACATACTGCAGCTTTAACAACTCAAGGTGGTTTGTGGCAAGTATGTGAAGAATTCGGTCTGCCTGATGCTAATTTTTCATTTGTAAGCTTCTCTTAGTTTTTAGCTACATTAGCCTCATAACTTCAAAGAAAGCTACAGAAAGGGTCAGGGTGAAATTGTCTAAATATGACTGTTCCTCCAAAACAGAGAATAAAATGGTAGTAATAATAGAAAGCAGACATCCCAGATGAAACAGAACTACCAAGTACAGCACAACCGCCTCCATCGTTTTCTGAAACAAAGCACTTAGCGCTCAGCAGAAAGCTGTTCTGGAGTGCAGTTATGCAGATAAACACTTCAGGGCCGGTAAACAGCAATGAATAAGCTGGATGTTTATGGCACGGCAATCATCACAAGCATTTAATGGCCTTGTTTTTGACCTCAGTCTTTTTAAAGACTTGATGGCTCCTCGCAGTGAAGATGATCCAGTTTTACAGAAGAAAACGCCCAAGGAATGTGACACTGTAAGCAAAGTGGCCTTCAGAACCACAAAGCCATGAATCAGCAGTGAAATGCTGGCTGTCCACGCAAGACAAACTGAGCTTCATTAATAATACAGGCCACCTCTGTAGCTGTGAAGTGCCTGCTTTCCACTGCGCTAGCACATTTGGACATGCACACTGGGAACTGAAGTACATTAACATCATAATCTAATGATACTTCTGTTTAGCACTAGGTTCTGCTTTCGAATGCAGCAGGCAAGTGCCTTATTACAAACAGATATTGCCCAAGAACAGTACGTTGTGCGATCCGGTGAGGATTGCACATGTAAATGAGGTTAGAACCCAGAGTGCTGCAATGCACATGCTAACACAGTGTGTAGCACTGCACAAGCATTATTTGGTTTGTACTGTACAGTGAGGTATAATAAGATACAGCCCACTATTTTAAATTGAGGCCCGTTTTTAAAAATGATGACGTATTAAACGTCTATTCCATGCCAACAGCCAAATAAACACACTCCACTCATTTATATTGTATAGAGGGTCACTGATCAGTGGTGTGGGAGCTGACTGACAGGTGGCGTTGATACATAGAGGGGAAATCAGAACCAGGAAAAAAGTCAGAAAAACTAATCATCATCAGTTTTGACAACTTAACGACTTTGTCGCTAGATTTAGCGACTTTTCAGACCCCTTTAGCGACATTTTTATTTAACCTAGCATCAAATTTGTTAAACTCAGCAAATAAACAGAAATTGTGCACTAAAACTTGCAGGAAAATGTCATATATGGGTCATTCTACAGAAATGTCCACTTTTCTATTTCTCCATAGGACTCACTGGTGTTACTGATCGTCATTGGTGTTCCACATAATAAAGGTAACACCAGAGACTTTTAATAAACAATGCATTTTACAAAATCTCTGCTACAGAGCATCAAACCACATGTTGTCAATCATGGAATATCCACTAAAAAAATATCCATTTGTATTCTATTTTTTCACAATTACCTCAGAATAAAGTCGGTCACACCAGTGACTTCAGCTAAAAGCTTCATATGAAATCATGAGCTAAATGAGAAAATCTCTGATAACTGAAAGACGCAGTGGACTCACCATGAGCTTTTCTTCATAGATCCTCAGAAAATAGGTAAAAGGAAGTCAAGTGATGTCATCAGTGTGAATTTTATTTCAAAATAAGAGATTTTTGTTACGCGGTAACACCAGTGACACGACTCCTGGGGAACTTTCATTATATATTTTATAATATTTATTTGGCATTTGTTTTCTTTATTTCATTTAAATAATATATTTATCATATTTCATAGTCATGTATAGATTATTGCAGTTAAAATTTTAGAAAAACATGTTTTATACTTCAAAATATGGCACTCAGCCTTCACACAGGACAAGCTCTTCTGTGGTGCTTGGAATTCTAGATAATTGATTTAAAAACTAATATTGCTAAATTGATAAATCAAGAAGGTGTAACTGTTAAAATAACATTGTTTTATTTTTAAATGTAAATAAATTGTAACCCTGACATGTTTTTCAAGTGTAATATATCTGTAAACGCTAGGGACACAGAAGTGGACGTTTCTCATATGTTTGTCTTTTCACTTAGAAAATCAACAAAACATGTCATTGGACCAGGTGTGTTCAAACTTTTATCAAATTCTGTATACTCACCAGCTGTTTATGGGGTGAAAGTAGTTCTGCCCCATCGTTAACTTATTTGGCCCCTTTTTCTACTTGATCTTACTGTCAGGTCTGATTTCAGCTTATCCTTCAAATTATCAAACTCTTTGCAAAACTGTTAAAAATTTCACCAAATTATCACTCTCTCTCTCTCCCAACTGCATCAATCCTGTCTCCTTCTTTACTCATCCGTCCCATCCCTCGCTCCCCTCCTGCCTCCATAACGCTGCCACCACGTCAACTCATTGATGACTTGGAGTTTCCATAGCAACATTATCTTAAGGAGATAAGAGTATAATGTGGCCAGGATGCGTCTCCGCTGCGGTATTGAGTGGGGCACACAAACATTCTCAAAGGAATAAACATGCTAATAGAAGAAGCCCTTGTGGTCAAAGTCTAACTCATTCACCAGTGTTGTATGAACAGTATACTCAATACATTTACATTTATGGCATCTGGCAGACGCTCTTATCCAGAGCGACTCACAATTTTGATCAATTTACACAGGTAGGCAACGGTAGTGTTAGGAGTCTTGCCCAAGGACTCTTTTTGGTATATTGTAGGGTGCTTACCCAGGTGGGGCACTGAACCACAGTTACTCACTACACTATGCCCAACGTGTAACCAGCCCACTGAAGGCGGGAGCAGGACCAAGCATGCATGAACAGAAATCCCTGAAATTAATGAATGGCCTAAATTAATTAGAACTCATATCATATATATATATATATATATATATATATATATATATATATATATATATATATATATATATATATATATATATATACACACACACACACACACATACACACACACACACACACAACATACCGTGATCTAAACATTTTTTTTTGTAATTTGATGATCCAGTTATGTCGATGTTCTGAGCATGGTTGAAGTGTGACCTTGTAATAACTTGTAATAACTGTAAGTGTTAATCATCTGACTAGTTTTTACTAGTTTTACAGTCCTGCATGACTTATATCTAAAACATCAAAGTGTGTTGCATCAGACTAAGCAATCCAACCCACCCTCACCACAAACCCAAATGCTAATCCTGTGTATACACAGCAGTGTGTACTCACAGCTGGTCTTGAAGCTCCAGTATGATGTACTCCAGCTGCTCCTTCTCCAGTTTGTGGCTGATGTCGGCCTCTGTGAAGCGCTGCAGTAAAGCTTTGTTTTGGGAGACGGACTCCGACAGCTGAGCTTCTCTCAAACGCACCAGCTCCTCCAGATAACCCTGTACACAAACATATTTTATTCAGTACAACATCAGGTCATACAGACTTCTCATATGAATTTTACAGATGTAAATACATGTATGTAACAATATATCCCATATATGTATTTACACCGATCAGGCATAACATTCTGACCACCTCCTTGTTTCTACGCTCATTGTCCATTTTATCAGCTCCACTTACTATATAGGAGCACTTTGTAGTTCTACAGTTACAGACTGTAGTCCATCTGTTTCTCTGCATACTTTGTTAGCCCCCTTTTACCCTGTTCTTCAGTGGTCAGGACCCCCATGGACCCTCACAGAGCAGGTACTATTTGGGTGGTGGATCATTCTCAGCACTGCAGGACCGCTGATGTGGTGGTGGTGGTGTGTTCGTGTGTGTTGCGCTGGTCTGAGTGGATCAGACACAGCAGTGCTGCTGGAGTTTTTAAACACCTCAGTGTCACTGCTGGACTGAGAATAGTCCACCAACCAAAAATATCCAGCCAACAGCGTCCTGTGGGCAGAGTCCTGTGACCACTGATGAAGGACTAGAGGATGACCAACACAAACTGTGCAGCAGCAGATGAGCTATCGTCTCTGACTTTACATCTACAAGGTGGACCAACAAGGTAGGAGTGTCTAATAGAGTGGACAGTGAGTGGACACATACATACATATATACATACATACATTATATAAATATATATATATATATATATATATATATATATATATATGTGTGTGTGTGTGTGCGTGTGTGTCATGGGATCAAGGGAAGGTGAACTAAACATACGTGTATTGCTACACTCTCAACATGTGCACAAACAAATATGGCTGCACGTACGTTTCTATTGTACAACATGCTTAAGCAACTTCCGCAACAGAGAAGGCTGTAACGTTAGCTTTCGACACCAAACTAAAGTTTCCAATAATATGGCCCACAGTAAGTGGCAAAAGCTTGTGTTTTGAGAAGTAGTTGATATCTTGTGAGCTGGTTAGAAGGCTTGGTTCCAGTTTTCTCTTTATTGCTTAGTTATTGCATGGACTTGTTAACTTGGGCCAAGCCAGGTATTGGATGATAACAGCAGTTTAAAACAATTTGCTTAGGTGACAAAGACTTTTACACAGTACTGCAGCTCTCCAGCCACATTATGAGCTCTACTTACTTTATTATTGCTATACAGGCGTACAGTTACTATAGCCGATCTGCTGCTGCACAATTTGTTAGTGTCACTGTTAGGTTGAGAGTGGTCCACTTTTTAAAATATCCAGCCAATTTATCACCAGGCTGGCGTGGCACAGATCTGATTTTATTGGTCTTGATGGGACACAAATCTCATGTTTTCAAAGCTGTGTTTACACATAATTTTGATCTTTTTCAAACCAAATCTGTCATTTACATCACGTACAACAAACTAACCAGCAAAACAATCCTTCACAAAGATAATTAGCTCTGAACAGCTATCAGTTATATGTTATCATTAGAGTAAGACAGAGGAACAGGTGCTTTTTCAGCATTTACCGGCTCCGAGTTCAGGTTAGGCACTGCAGCCACATTAATCCTGAATGATGGCGCATGTGCAGTAAATAAAAATATTTAAATTCCGATCTGAGCGTTCTCATTAAGGTCGCATTGGCACGAATTGGATACATATCCGATCTAGGACCACATACAAAAGGCTATGTTCATGTTGACAGGCTAAAGGCTACGTTCACATTACCAGGCTGAAGTGGCACAAACCGGATTTTTTGCCCTAATGTAACTCAGATCTGATGTTTTCAGGTCTGTGTGGACACAAATCTGATTTAAAGCCTGTAAACAGTGGAAAAGCAGCACATCTCACCTTTTTCGCCTTCGTCTCGCTCTAATATTGAAGCTGAGAGCTGATCAGAGTTAATTAGACAGTACTTGCCTTTGTGTTTCTTATGCGTGCACACACACACACACACACACACACACACACACACACACACGTACACACACACACTTGCCTTCTGTTCCAGGACCACTCTGTATTTCTGCTCTACTCTCTTGTATTTGCTGTACCAGCTGCTCAGGTCAGTGCGGAAGCTGGGAGCCATGTTGGATTCCGGTGTGCTGGCTTCACTGCCGCTGCTGCCCAGAGTTCGCATCTCCTCCTCATCACTGCTGATGCTGTCTGAGCTGAGACACAGAAAAACATTCATTTATTTCATTTCCAGTAAAAACAACCATTAAGCAAATTTAGACTTATCAGTTTATAAAAGCTAACTCCACATCTCAGATGTGCAATTTCGGGCTAAGCCTCATTGCTCAAATCCAATTTTTTGCTCAAATCCGATCTCTCTGACTCGATGGTTCACACTCGTTTGGGTAAGTGATTCAAATCTGTCATTATTGTGAACGAACCGGCGTCCTGAAATGACCCTCATGAGCTCATCCTACTCAGTAACGCCACGTGAATGAATCACTGCATTATCAGCACAAACTAACGAGCAGAACGAGCTTCGCTGAGAAGATAATTAACTCTGATCAGCTCTCAGCTTCATTATTAGAGCGAGACGAAGGAGAAAATGGTGAGATGAGCTGCTTTTGCTCCGTTTACAGGCTTTAACTTCTGTTCGGCGCTGCTGCCATGGTAACGCTGAATGATGGCTCACGCACAGTGGAAAAAAAGCACATGAATTCCGATCTGAACATTCACATTAAGGTCGCATGGCCTCGAATCGGACACGTATCCGATCTAGGACCACATATGAAAGTGGCTCAGGTCGGATTTGAAAAGATAAGATTTGTGTCCACACAGCCCTGAAAACATCAGATCTGAGTCACATCAGGGCAAAAAATCTGGTTTGTGCCACTTCAGCCTGGTAATGTAAACGTAGCCTTGGTGTTCTAATGCAAATCTTCTTTTTGTCTATTCCCTTTTTTCACTAACGGCTTCTTGACAGCTACTAATCTTTTCAGCGCTGAGCACTGAGTTGTTCTCTCACAGTGGAGTGATGGACACAAAAACCTGTGGATTTTTTTTTTTTTGTCAGATATGATTTTCTCTTATCTCTCAAAGATGAACTGTTTAAGCACTGTTAGCTACCTGGTGGTGACAGTTCTAGTGGTCTAACCAGGTCCAGGTATTTTGGTTAGGAGTCCAATTTCCTTTATAGCTTAATACATACTTGAAATGTTAGTTTTTTAAACTCGTTTTTTTCACCTATTTTCCTTCAACTTTTTCCTTCCTTTTTTTTCCTTTTATTCCACAGCTTGAAAGAAAACAGTTACAATTATAACAGTGTCAATTCTACAATATCTTTTAAACCATCTAACCCCTCTCCACCTTCTGAATCCCTAAGTCCCCCCAACCCCCTAACCCTGAATACCGCCCCCCCCCCAACTTAAAAGATAAATGAATAAAATGAATTGAAACAATAAAATAAATAAATAAAGGATAAACAAGATGGACAAATTAGAGAGAAAAAAAAAGGGAAACAAAGGATAAGGACGTCCTCTAATCTGTATTTAAGTTAGATTGGTGTTTAAAATTGGAGATGAATGGTTGCCAGATCCGGTCAAATATGTCTGCAGTACCTCTCAGGCTAAATTTAGTCTTTTCCAAGTCCAAGAAAAACATGATATCAGTTAGCCATAGAGCGTGTGAGGGTGGGATGGTGGATTTTCACGCCAAAAGGATCCTTCTCTTAGCTAAGAGGAGGGCAAAGACAACTGCATTGGCTACTTGGGGCTTGGAAAAGAGAGATTCTGCCGGGACCCCAAATAATGTAAGCAATGGGCAGGGGATTATGTTGCATTCGAAGGCCTCAGTTAGTGAAGTAAAAACAGCAGACCAGAACCTCTCAAGCTTTCTGCAGGCCCAGAACATGTGTAACACGTAGGCAGGTGGTTCCACCACAGCGAGGGCATGATGGGTCTACCCCTGGGTAAATGCCTGCCAAAACTTTTTCCTTCCTTGAGCAAGCGGATTATTTTATATCTAATCTCCTCAGAAATATCTCAAATTTAGATATACGAGAGAATTTAACACGTGTTATTATGCACCTGAGTGAATAGGTAGCAATTTAGTCTTACCTTTGTGTGAACTTGAGGTAAGGTGTGTAGTCGATGACAGCAGGATAGCTTCCATCCAAACCCTCGCCCTTCAGACAGAAACTGCCAAATAAACAGCATGATTATTTAATCACTTCATTTAGATTTTCTTATTTATAACTTCCTTTATGTTTTTGTTTTGTTTTTCGTCTTTTACAGACTTAACTCATATAGCTTGCTTTGCACATACAGCACATACAGTCTTACGCACTACTCCATGATTCTATGGGATTAGTTGTACATGGGGATGTGCGGTAAAGTATTTATCACTGTTTCTCATCGATTTTAGACCCATCTGAATTGGGCCTGAGACTGAACTGAGCGCACCCACATCAGGAGAGGTTCTAGTGCCTATTGCCAGATGAGTGTTCACGTTGTTTCTTAAGTATGAAGCCACTTATTCATTGTGCTATCTGAGGCTAAAGTCAAGTCAACTGGAACTCTGAACATCAAAACATGCAAAATTACAGGAGGTAACATTGATGTTATTCGGCTATGTTGACAGTTGGCTGCGATTTCCCAAACTAATGATAATAACACACTGATTCAACTTAAGACAGATGGTTAGAGTAAATGAAATAAGACCTAAATCAAATGTTTTCTACTCTTTTTTTTTTGAGTGTGGGCAGTAAACCAAGTAGCCACTCCAAACTCCCACCAATTCCATCTAAATCTATAGGACTTTAGGCCGCCAGCAGCACCCGATTTACTTAAATGAAGGATTGATTAGATAAACTAGGTGTTGGATTGTAGCTGTAAACACTGGACTTCCTCAAGCAGAGCTTTGGAGATTTTTAAGGTAACAGAATCGCATAAAATGACAGCATATTTTTAATCCATATATTTGCATTTATTGTAATGTTAGAGACTTGTTAGAATGTTAGAGACAAATAAATGCTTATTGTCAAGGAAAACATATCATTTTTTCAGATGAATACGTCTGTACAGTACTGTACAGAGACACTGATTTTCATTGGGCAGACATGAAAGAGTCTGTGTGAGACTGTACAGTGACGAGCTTCAATCAGCAGGCGCATATGGAGCAGCAGCTTTTTAATGAATCATTAACATTCTGCCTGAGTGATACATGGCTGAATGTCAATACCTCCCCACAGAGAGAGAGAGAGAGAGAGAGAGAGAGAGAGAGAGAGAGAGAGAGAGAGAGAGAGAGAGAGAGAGAGAGGTACCTGAAAGTCAATAGCGTTTAGACCAATCAGAGTATCCGCCAGCAGCCCCGCCTCCTCACCTAGCATTATGGCCCCATCCTCGTAAAACCGCCTGGTAAAAACCACAGAACAAAGCCACAAAGAAAATCATTCCCATCTTTGTTTACACCTTCATAAGTCATAAATAAACAGAACAAAAGCTTTGAACTATAAAACTAAGACAAGAAGAAACAAGATCATTCGTCAGGGGAGCCTGGACGCTTCCTATTTCTCCCATTATTTCCAAAAACGTAGGTCTGCTAAATGCTAGAGGGAGCCTGCAAGCAAGTCCTCAATAAATGGGGGTGAAAGGTCTTAAACAGCTAAAAAAAGGAAAAGTTTAACTTATTTCTAACCATCTGTGCAGGACCTTGCGACTGAGTGCCTGTTGGTTGGCATTACCGCTACTTACTGCCTGTTGGTTAGCATTACTGCTACCGAGCGCTGATTGGTTGGCATTACAGCTACTTAGTGCCTGTTGGTTGGCATTACTGCTACCGAGCGCTGATTGGTTGGCATTACCGCTACTTAGTGCCTGTTGGTTAGCATTACTGCTACTGAGTGCTGATTGGTTGGCATTACTGCTACTGAGTGCTGATTGGTTGGCATTACTGCAACTGAGTGCTAATTGGTTGGCATTACTGCTACTGAGCAGTGATTGGTTGGCATTACTGCTACCGAGCGCTGATTGGTTGGCATTACTGCTACTGAGTGTCTGTCGGTTAGCATTACTGCTACTGAGTGCTGATTGGTTGGCATTACTGCTACTGAGTGCTGATTGGTTGGCATTACTGCAACTGAGTGCTAATTGGTTGGCATTACTGCTACTGAGCGCTGATTGGTTGGCATTACTGCTACTGAGCGCTAATTGGTTGGCATTATTGCTACTCAGCTCTGATTAGTTAGCATTACTGCTACTGAGTGCTGATTGGTTGGCATTATTGCTACTCAGCTCTGATTGGTTAGCATTACTGCTACTGAGCGCTAATCGGTTGGCATTACTGCTACTCAGCTCTGATTGGTTAGCATTATTGCTACTGAGTGCTGATTGGTTGGCATTACCGCTACTGAGTGCATGTTGGTTAGCATTACTGCTACTGAGTGCTGATCGGTTGGCAATACTGCTACTCAGCACTGATTGGTTAGCCTTACTGCTACTGAGTGCATGTTGGTTAGCATTACTGCTACTGAGTGCTGATTAGTTGGCATTATCACTACTGAGTGCTGATCGGTTGGCCAGCTGATCAGCTCTTTGGCTTATGGTAGCAGTCCTATAACTTGAGTTCAAAAGCGCTCAAGAATGCAACACCAGTGTTGAAATATTTTACACAGTTCTGCGTTCAGAAAATGACAGAACTGTTCTATATAAAAACGGCATTTACAAATGATAAAAGCTCCTTAGGAGCCCATTCATTATAGACTTCGGTAGCACAGCGCTTGACCAACCTGAAAGACATTACATAACTCAGTTTGTGTCAAAATTAATTAATTTAATCAACTAATTTATGTATTTCATTCGGTGTGCATGTTAATAGGTTAGGATGGATGGGGTGCGGTTTTTTGTTGTTGTGTAATTGAGCTAATGTTGTCATAGTTATTTACAGCAGGAATTAAGCATATGTAGAGGGAGAGAGAGAGAGAGAATAGACTTCTTGATGCAAACTAAGTGTCTCTTGGCGCTGCTGTTGCTATTCTGAACTGTACAGTGGCATCTTTAACATAAACAATCCACTGAAAAGCTGCACCACAAAAACCACAACTACTGTCACCCACACCGCAGCTTGGTACGCCTCTAAGAAAGAGAGGAAGACCTTGTGGTTTTGAAGTCTCTCAAAGCTGCAGAGATGTATTCAGACAAACGCTTCTCCATCAACGCAACTCTGATCCACGCACGACCCTGAGAGAGAGAGAGAGAGAGAGAGAGAGAGAGAGAGAGAGAGAGAGAGAGAGCGCATATTCATTTCTTTAAACTGTTATTTTTACTCAATCTTCAAACAACACCTCAGCTGTCTAGAGAATACTATTCTTGTTTCAACTAAAAACAAAAAAAATCCTACAGCAAAAAAGGTTTCATTTCCAGTCAAAGCTGCCATTCAGCAAAAGCCATTTTTCAGGAAACATTTATGACTAGATTATATGTAAAAGTAAAAAAACTGGAATTCAAAAATGTATCAAAAGATACAGAGGAAATTAAGCTCTTGACAACCATGCAAGACCTGGTAAACCACCAAAACTGTCCCCATCAGATAAATAAACAGTACTTAAGACTTTCATCTTTGAGAGAGAGGAGAAAATCAAGCTGCTTCAGATCTGAAAACATCCACAGGAGTTTCTCTCCATCCTTCCACTGTGAGAAGACGACTCAGCGCTATGGGTCTGAAAGGATGTGTAGCTGTCAAGAAGAACCTCACTGAGAAAAGGAATTCTGCACAGTTAACCAGGAAGCTGCTGATGTTTTCAGAACAATGGACTGACCACCCCAGAGTCCAGACCTCATAAATCACTGAATGTGTTTGGGTTTACTCAGATCGTGAGAAGCAGAAAATGCAACCAACTTCTAAGACTGAACTTTGGAGGTGTGGAAAAATATCCCTGCAGGTTTCTGTGAAGAATGGAAAACAGAATGGAAGCTGCGATGCAAAGACTGGACAAATACTCAACAAATTATTTTATATTTACTTGTTGAGGCTTCTGTGGTTGAGGTCTCTGATTTTTGCACAGTACTGTACAGGACTCACTGTCCAGCAGCCTAGACATACAGACAGTTCTATGCTCTTAAGCATACTGTTAACACTTGGACACTTGGAGTCTTCAACCACTCTTCCTTGCAGAGAGCTTCTAGTTCTTGGTCTTATATTCTTGGTCAGTTTTATATGTTTAAGATCTACCCACAAATTTTCAATCATGTAGAGGTCAGGGGACTCTGTGAGGGCCATTCACAAAGCTTCAGCTTGGGTTTCTTCAAGTTGATCATGCAGGATTTTGAGGTATGTTTTAGATAAATGTCTTGTAGTAAAAGCCAAACTTGCTGTTGCTTAACTGACTGTCACAATTTTTTCCAGAACTTGCTGATATTTACATGCAGATCATGTTTGTGCAAGCAATGCTTCCCTTCCACAGTTCCCCTTAACTGCCATTTCTTAATGCCATTTCGTACAGTGGAAATTGCGAGCTGGAAGCGCTTTGATAGCTTTTTATAGCCTTGCCCTGCTTTGTAGGCATGAATCGGCTTATTTTCAGAACCTCAGCTTCTTTGAGGAGCCCTAAGGAGTCAGTTAAAGCCTAGAAAGTACATCAAGTTCTGAGACTTTACAACTGAATGGGTGTCCAAACTTTTTTTTTTTTTTTACATGCAACAATTACCATTTTATTCTTTTCCTTTTTTAAATTAATGAAATCTAAAGTAACTGTGCACTAATATTTGCAGGGAAAAAAAATTAAAAAGGTAGTTCACTTCTTTTCACTTCAAAAAACAAAATGTCATTAGGTGAGGGGGTGCCTAAACTTTTACACGCGACTGTATTATCATTATTACCTTGGCTCTGGAGGTGCGGACGTTCTCCATGCTCTCGATGCTGTGGATGCAGCTGTGAGGGACTTTGCTACAGGCCAAACGGACATAATCCCAGAAACTACGAGGGCTCTCATAGCCAAACCAACTGACCTGACCTGCAGAGAGAGGGGGGAAAGAACAAAAATACAGATTAAAGAAAGACCTAGGAGAGGGAGGTCTGAGAATTTAGGCTAGGGTCCTGGACGGCCTCTGATTCACACTAGAAAGCAGAAAGTATTGATGGATGTATATGTCAGGGAGAGGAGGTAGGGAGATGGTGTGGAAACATGACATTGTATTTACATGTTGTCCTTAACACTGTGTGAACATTTCACGACAAATGGACCAAAAGAAAAGGCTCAGATTTAGTTAAAGCTATTTTATCAAACATTTAGTTAAGAAATGTTTTTTTTTTGTCTTTCTCCTATAAAATGTAGTCGTATGCAAAAGTTTGTGGTCAAATTACATGTGAAAAAAGTAAATGTGCACTAAAATGTGCCATATTTAAGTGTATTCTCTGTAGAGAATGTGTTAAATTACTTTCACCCAGAAAATCAACTAAATATGTCATTTCACCAGGGGTGTTCAAACTTTTGCATACAACTGTATTCTCCCTTAGAACTGTTGAGCCAAGATTGAAAACTCTTGATATTCTAACATACACTGTGATAGTGTGACATGAAATCTTGACTGACCGAAGATGCATTTAAAGCGACAGTCTGGTGAAAATCAAGTTCATTCAGTTTTCACCTTTATCTCAAATGTAGGCAATCAACAAAGACATGTTTGGTGTCTGAGGTTTGCTTCATTAGCTTTGGACCTGGCAAATTTCAGGCTTTAAGGCTTCTACATAATTTTTTTGTTGGGGTTGGAGGGGGGGTGCAATTTTACCCAATTTTGACATGGTCAATTCCCACTAGCTATGTCTCCCCAGATCACATGATGCTACCAAGCTACAAGGGTGAAGGCTGGCACGGGCTTCCTCTAAGACACGTGAAGCATCACTGCATCTCTTCAAACTGCCACTAACATAATGTCATTGGACAGCTAAACACACTCGGAGGAGAGCGCTAACCGCCATTTCTGTTACATCAGCTAACAGACACCCGTGGTGGTTACCATCGCACAGAGAGTTGGGGAGAGGGAGGACAATGAGTGTGTTTACATGCAGTCAATAATCCGATAACTGCAGAACATCAGATTTTGTCAGTAATACGATCAACACGTTTACATGCACCTGAGTAAACAGATGATGGGAAACTCTGGGTCTACATGAGTCAGACAGTGATCAGATTTCTGCTTCGCAACCAGCCAATAGACTCACAGAAGAAGACGTCACATAAACACAGTGTAAAACTCAAACTTCACACCGCAGCTTTTTTAAAAAAACATCACGCCACTTAACCGAAAATATGAACTTAGATCATCTAGAAAATGAAGAATATTCAAGTCCTTCATTTCGTGTTTGGTTTCAGCACCGCTCCAAAAGTGCTGCTTCTCGCGACATCCACCGTCTGATCTTGTGCATGCGCAGACTGAGAAATCGGATAGAAATCGGAGTAAGAGTTCACATGCACTGAGAAATCTGATTACTGAGCTAAGATCCAGCCTCTTTATCGGATGTCTTAATCAGATTTCTAGATCGTAGTATGGTGTTTACGTGACCTTTTGAATAATCAGATAACTGCAGAAATCCGATTATGATCAGATTACTGATGTTATTGCATATTATTGATGATATTGCATGTATATCCACTCATTGCTACCCACCTAGAGAGACCAATTATGCTGTCTTGGACACTTAAGATATTAAGATTTGTCTATTTTATAGATAAACATGTGTCACACAGTGTCTGAAACCAAATGAGAAGGTCTATTTGAGATGGCCTAACAAATGAACCCACCGTGACTTGGGCATGCAGGTTGCTAATTCTTCTATTACTTGTTAGTCAGATTAGCCTTATAGCTCCAATGCAAAGCTAAAGATGCTAACTTAAGACATCAAACATGTCTTGGCTGATTGACTATATGGCCAATTGTACTGAGTTCAGCCACACACAATACTAAGAGGTGCATAAAATCAAGCACATAATCATGCAATGTCCACAGACAAACACTGCCAGTAGAATGGGTCATACTGAAAACTCCAGCTCAGTGACCTTACACATGACACCTTTGCCACAAGTCAATATTTGAAAGTTCTACCCTACTAGATCTGCCTCGATCAACTCTATGGGCCACTATTGTGAGATAAAAGTGCCTGGAAGAGACAACAGCTCAGCTCAGCTTAAGATCACCATGTGCAATGCTAAGCCTCGGCTGGAGTGGTGTAAAGCACACTGCCACTGGACTCTGGAGTAGTAGACATGTTTTCTCTGGAGTGATGCATCACACTTCCCCATCTGGTAGTCTGATGGGCGAATCTGGATTCGGCAGAACGCTCTCTACCGGAATGCATAGTGCAAACAGTAAAGTTTGGCGGAGGAGGGATAATGGTCCGGGGCTGTTATTTTTAGGGTTTGGGCTCGGCCCCTTAGTTCCAGTAAAGGTCGAATGCCCCTATGAGGTCCATAAAGACATCTTTTGACAAGTTTGGTGTGGAGGAACTCCAGTGGCCTGCACAGAGTCCCGAACTCAAGCCCCCTGGGATCAATGGGAACATCACTGCAAGCCAGGTCTTCTCATCCAACATCAATGCCTGACCTCACAAATGCTCTTTTGACTGAATGGTCACAAATTCCCAGAGACACAGTCCAAGACCTTATGGAAAGCCTTCACAGAAGACTAGAGGCTGTTATAGCCACTGAGGTGGGGGGGGGGGTACATATTAATGGCCATGATTTTGGAATAGGTTGTCTGACAAGCTCCTATAGGTTTGATGGTCAGGTGTCCACACACTTTTGGCCATATGGTGTGGCATCTGTTGACCTTCGATAGTGAAAACACAAAAAAGGGACAACCTGCAGACCAACACCTGTACAAAGCAACACACAACTCGAGTTACACGGAGAGCCTATGTAAGGTTCTGTCTGCATTTTTGCCAAGTCACTCACTGTATGCTGTGAGCCACCTGCCACCGGAGGGGAGATGAAATGAAATGAATGAGAAAGAGATTGAGACGGAGGGAAAGTGAGACGCAGCGCCTGGCTCTGCATGCATAATGCCCACATAATGCTAATGGCTTCCGCTCACAACTGTACCTCAGGTGGCTAATGACTTTTAATGGAAACTTCGGTTTGTTTACACTTTACATGCAGGGAAAACATTTTCCACTGCGAAAGTTTGCTCACCTAAATGTTCTGCAGTGAACGGTGGATGACAAATAACATGCACTAATAGGTAGAGACATTAGGATTACTTAGAAATGGATTTAGAGACGCATAATTACAGCTTTGCAGAACACTCAGCATCCGCTTGATTAGAAACAGCCACCTTGTGCTTTCACTCGCCAGTCACTTTGAGGACCACCTACCTTTTAGGTCCACTATATTGGTGTACTTACTGTAGCTCATGTGGACAGTTTCTGACCACAGGACCACCGTTGATCAGGTATAATTTAGGTGATGGATGATTCTCAGCACATCAGTGACACTGATGTTGAGAGTGGTCCACCACCTAAAATATCCAGCCAAGAGCAGCTCTGTGGTCAGAAACTGACCGATTGATGAAGGGGATGACTAACGAAAATCGTCCACCAACTTATGAGCTACAGTCTCTAACTGGAGCTACAAGGCAGGAGTTTCTACTGTACTTTGTCCATCTGTTTCTCTGCATACTTTGTTAGCCCCCTTTCACCCTGTTCTAATGGTCAGGACCCTCACAGGACCCTCACAGAGCAGGTACTATTTGGGTGGTGGATCATTCCTAGCACTGCAGTAACACTGATGTGGTGGTGGTGTGTTAGTGTGTGTTGCGCTGGTACGAGTGGATCAGACACAGCAGTGCTGCTGGAGTTTTTAAACACCTCAGTGTCACTGCTGGACTGAGAATAGTCCACCAACCAAAAACATCCAGCCAACAGCGTCCTGTGGGCAGCATCGTGTGACCACTGATGATGAACTAGAGGACGACCAACTCAAACTGTGCAGCAAGGCAGATGAGCTATCGTCTCTGACTTTACATCTACTAGGTGGACTGACAAGGTATGAGTGTCTAATAGAGTGGACAGTGAGTGGACACAGTGTTTAAAAACTCCAGCAGCACTGCTGTGTCTGATCCACTCGTACCAGCGCAACACACACTAACTCGCCGCCACCACGACAGTATCTCTGCAGTGGTGAGAATGATCCACCACCCAAATAATTCCTGCTCTGTGGTGGTCCTGTGAGGGGTCCTGACCATTGAAGAACAGAGTAAAATGGGAGTAACAGATGGACTACAGACTGTAATTGCAGTGCTCCTATATGATTAATGGACCTAATTAAATGGACAATTTCACAGTCTCACATTCACAGTGAATGATGTATCTAAGACTTCTAATCATGCTATGTTAGTTAGTTAATCTAATGCATAAGGCCTTCAGTTCAGCTCCTGAAGGACTAACCTATGGCAAAGCTTGCTTGGCTGTATCTACAAAGATACCAGGCACCAACCAGCAATCTGACCGGACAATTTTACGTCGGGCGTTTCAAGATTTTAATTTTGTTTCCAGCCAAACTTTAACAATGAAAGAATGAGAAGAATATTACTGCAATACTTGTGTTTATAAACACACAAATACAACCAGCAAACAAGCATGATGATTTTATTAAGTAATGAATGAAACAAATACTGACATGTATTTTTAGTTGACAGAATTCATCAAGCAACATATCCTGTAATACCCCAATGAGAACGTGGAATGGGGGAGAGGAGAAGGAGGGGTAAAGCAATACAATACATAAGCAATATTAAGTTGAAAAACAATAAAATAACAATAATAATGTCCTCTAAAATGAGTAAAAAAAAACAAACAAACAAAAAAAAAAAAAACACAATATGCCCCATTTTCTGTGTGCTTTATATGATACAAGCTTAAAATAGTCCTACCTTTGAGCCGATGGCTGAGTATCTGCTCCAGAATAGAGACGAAGTTGATGAATTCAGGAGACGTGTCATCTATAGTCTCAAAACAGGAGCGATCGATCAGCGTTTTCACCGAGAACCTGCAGAAACACATCAGCCATGTTCTCATTTGAAGGAAATTGAATGCAGCTACAACATAGTAATTCCTAGTGTTCTGGAATGAAGTTGAACGTGATGCGTTCTAGAGCATGTGTCAGGCTCCAGTCCTAACAGGTCAAAACACTGCAGACTTCAGCACACTGCCTCATTAAACACACCTGACTCAGCTCTTCAGCTAATTAACAAGGCCTTCATGAACTGAGTTCAGAGTGTTACATGAGGGTAAACGCTAAACTCCACAGCACTTTGGCCTGGAACGTCCCCAGTTTGACCTGCCTGTTCTAGAGCCATAACAATATACATTAGTCTTCAAAAGTTTGGAAGCACTAATCATAAACAATTATTATTTTATTAAAGAATAACTTAAGTAGTGATCACTGAAATATTATAATCTGGGAATGCGCTGAAATTTCGGCTACCCAAAATTTTCAGCCGAAAAAAAAATGGTTGAAAGAGGAAAAAAAGCTGAATATTTCAACAGAAAAAAAGCAAAAGATTAAATAAAAAATTTGACACTTTATGGTGGACAAATTAAAAATAGCATTTTAATTGATAATGAAAATGAGGAAAACTGATTGTATTAAAAAAAACAAAAAAACAAGAACAGACATGTTCAAACAGTTTGAGCAGCAAATGATCAACAGTGAAACACAAACACAGTCATCTGTAACTGCGTGCTATATGATTTTTAACTTACATGCTTAGCATTACCTGATTTATTGCAAATTCTTCCATGGAAATCACAAACAATACAGTAACTCAATATCTTTTTGGTAATTAACTTTTTTTACCCCTTTTTTTAACTCTAAACGTGCGCGTTCATTAGAGCCTGTGGACCCCCTGCTGGAGAAACTTCAGACTGCTAAGTGGGAGTTCCAAGGCCACATCCACATGCTTTACATATTAAACAATGAGGTGTTCTTCATCGTTATGGCAGAGATGCTCTGGAATTCAGCTTTAGATGCCTTTGGCAAACCAAGAAGTATTTTCATAATTTTATATTTAACATTATTTAGCAAGCTGTTTAAATTTAAATAAATTTAGGCCATCTAGTTCCTAATAGGGTGATTATTAGATGAAAGCATAAATAATATGGTTACAAAATATATATATATTATATATATATATATATATATATATATATATATATATATATATATATACACACACACACACACACACACACACACACACACACACACACACACACACACACGTTTGCTGATACACAAAATGTTGCAAAAATCTACAATCTATGTTTTTCCATAACTATACATTTATGCATAAAAATAATTAAATAAGTAACATTTCCTTAGTTGTCCTTAGTTGTAGATTGTGGGAAAGTTGGGAAAGCCAAAGGGACACAAGTTGCAACATGAAATAACAAGGAAAAACAATTTTCTGATCAATAAACCAAACACTGTGTGACAAAAGCTTTTTTGCAGGAAAATACATCATTATATAATAAAGAACTATCACCTACATTTTTCATTGTAAAAGTAATTTTATTGTATCACTTACAATAAGATATGGAGATCAAAATATCACATCAGCTGCTCCCAAACAAACATGAAGGTAAACACAGTGAGACAATACTGGAGAAAGTCTGACTGAACTCCTGCTTCATTTTAAACTTGGGGGAGGTAAACAACACTTTGGAACAGACAAAGCCAGACGGTCTTTAAAAATAGATAAGGAAGAACAGTGGTCTCATCACACTCCTATTCTAGTGACCACATAGTCCAGGGAGCAGCTGGAGCTCATGAATCAGGTTCCAAAACAGCTCGGCCATACCTCATTACCTTTCACAGCTTTAGTCCAGGAACAGATCACTCACTGAAGACCAGAGAGGCTTCGCTCAGACAAGCATACAATTATAATCTTTCACTTGAAGGGTAAACAGCAGTTTATTATGTTTTATCAGATCCATTTCTGATTTAGACTGTGTTTATATGCCAGTATAGCGGGGTGTGATGATATTTTCAGGTTTGATACGATTTTTAAAGTCAAGATTCGATTTTCAATGACGAAATAAGCCCCCAAAATTCACATGCACTTAATAATCCAATAACTGCAGAAAATCAGATTTTGTCAGTAATCTGATTAACATAGGTAATCAGATAATGGGAAACTCCGGGTCTACATGCGACAGACAGTAATCAGATTTCTGCTTTACCACGAGCCAATTAACTCACAGAAGACGACGAGATGTAAACATAGTATAAAACTCAAACTTCATGCCGCAGCTATGCTGCGCCATTTTACCTGAAAATTTGCATTATCTAGAAGATGAATATTTAATATTTAAATCGTTCATTTCACGTTTGGTTTCAGCGCAGCTCCAAAAGTGTTTTGCTGCCTCTCACAGCAAAGCTGTTTGCTTATTTCCGGTACCGCCCTCTGTTCTCGCGCACGCGCAGACTGTGAAATCCGAAAGAAATCAGAGTAAGAGTTCACATGAACTGAGAAATCAGATTACTGAGCTAAAATCCAGCTCCCTTTATCAGATTTCTAGATCGGAGTATGGTGTTTACGTGACCATTTGAACAATCAGATAACGGCAGAAATCCAATTATGATCGCATTACTGAGTGCATGTAAATGCACTCAGTGTGGGTGTGTACATGGCATAAGCCCCACCCACTTTCCTGCCCATTCTGCTCTGACAGGATGCAGCCAGATACATAGTTTCGATCACTGACAGTGATTTCCACGACTGACAGCAAATGAGAGGCGCCTGGAAGAGACAGATGGACAGATAACAATAGTTTTAAATCTCCATACACTGTTCATTTCGTTCAGTACTGTAATGAAATCCTTAAGCACCATAGGTCATCTGAAGGTGTTTCCCCAAAAAGGGGTATTCAAAAAAGCAGGATTTCTCAGTAAGCTGGATCATTTTAACCAGTTCTCTGATAGGAATGTCTCCAGTCTCTCATCCTAATGTACATGCTTGACTGTGGACTCAAGTTATCAGGCTTACTGAGAAATCTTGCTTTGTTGCCTCCAGAAGCCTGAAGATCCTGAAGTCACTGTGCAGCATCACAGAGATCTGCTGATCATACTGAGTTTTATGTTTGTGAAAATTATCAACACGAACAACATTATCACTTTGCCTAAGATAAACATCATGTCCTTCTGGCTGGATTTCCTTTACAGCTCTCAGTAATTTAATAGCTGAAAAAGAAATGAGTAATATAATGCAGAGAGTCAGATGAGGTGAACGGAGGTGCAGGTAATTTAAACAGGAAGAGAACCGAGGCAGTAAAGTACAAAAAAAAAACAGTCCGGCAATTAAAAATAAAAAAATCCAAACCAGAGCGGAGCAAACAGGAATACAAGAAGGTTCAGTGATGCATACGCAGAAACAGCAAGTCTGAGGGTGAGGCTATGTCTGCTTAGAGGTTTAAATTGTTATAGCAGCACTGGAGCAAAAGGCCAGTGTTGCTAACAAGTAACTGAAGGGTCATCCTTATGTTCAGATGGGCGCATGTTCCTCTGGCCCTTTATTGTCTCACTGAAGTATATAGGGAAAAAAAAAAAACTATATTTGCAGGCCTCTATGTCCCCCACGCCCAGGTGTTCTCTCTTTGTAATTTTGGAAACAGCCTTATATTCTCAGGGTCCTATGGTCTCTCCTTTAAATTCCCTAGGAAACAACTCCATGTTCCCATGCTGCCTCAATCATGTTTTTTCAAGTTCTTCAGGAGCAGAATTTGCCCAAATGTCATTGTGACATTAAAAACAGAGTTTAGAGTTTATCTCACACACATCAGCAAATCCATCAGTGTGTGAATCACTTCTAATCTTAATACACATAAAATAAAAAACAAAACAAAACACAGTAAGAAGAACGAAGCTGAAGTTGGCCTCCTATTTCGCCAGCTTCTTGTTTGAGTTTTCCCGTTCCACCTTAAATGGTGCAGCAGTCACTTTCTGGTGCCTGAAGCTGCACCATTTAAGGTGGAACGGGAAAATTCAAACAAGAAGTTGGCAAATAAGAAGCGCTTCGTGTAAGAAGGTGCTAATATTAATCTAGTATGAATATCTACACGACTTAAGGAATGCTATAACTCACCCAGCTACAAAGCCTGTAAGTAAATAACTACTACATAAAGTTAAGATCCTCTGAATAGACTATTAAATGAAATAAGCTTCATATAAACCAGAGGAAAACTATCACATCAACAGATTCTCTGTGCTTCACCAACCACACGACCATATCTACATAAACATCACACAGTCATGAGTGTGGATCGCTGCGTTCCCTCCATTATATAATCCTGTCCCGCTTTCTGAGAGCAATATTCTTGAAATAGTGTAATTTTGGACAGTATCTTTCTTAAACTGCTGCTCTGTAATGGTACTGAATGCAGCCCAGCAGTGATGTTGACCTCCCTAAAATGGCGGTGCCGTTGACGTGCCTGGCTGGACCCAACGCGGCATCTAGGTATGTATATCCATGGTCTCACTTCTGAAAGAACTATTTGCATTACAAACTTTGCTTAGATAATTAGCGCACCGAGGCTGGCTTCCCTGTGGAAAAAACAGTACAGACCAGTATACATCCCATGCTGGTCTAAGCCGGTTTATGCTGGTCTGGAACTGGTTTAGCTGGTCGCCAGTTCGACCCACATATCAGTATCCAAAAGACAACATATGCTGGTTTTGCTAGCAGGGTTAGCTAAGGGCAAGTGCATTTCTATTGAAATATTGGTTCCTTATAGTTCCTCTTAGGTTCTTGGGAACACTGGGCACTGGCAACATAGGTATGCTCCCGTAATGGAGGATTCTGACCCAAAAATTAGGCATGCAGTTTGCACAGTGCTAAATCATCACATATTTGCCTCAAACGATCACATTGTTAAGTAAATTACAAAGTCAACTAATGTTCCATACTCCTGTGAGGTTTCTGACATTGTAGAAAATACTGTTATCTATAAAAAGGACAAAAGGTATGTTGAACTGATAAAAATGTTAGC